AGTTTAACGTGGGTTTCTCCGAGCCCGTAGGTTCGGCCAAAAATATTCCCTTAGAAAACGGTTTCAGGGCCTGTCTACCTCCCCGGACGAAACTTTGCTCTTCGGCAAAGCTTCGTCCAGGTTCCTCTCTGCCAAAGCAGAGAGTTCGACAGAAGTCGCACACAATCAGAGACTGCGTTCCAACTTCCTGCTTAGGAAGTCTCGCAGGTTAGTATTTATGAAGGAGGAAGAGTTTATTCTAATGTAGATAGGTCACCATAGCACAAAGTGTGAGAGAATATGAGTAAAAGAAAGCATTATTAAAGAATGATAACAATAAAAGAACAGGAATAAAGAAGACTGAAGATAACGATTGACATTGCGTTTAAATTATTGAAGATCAAAGTTGACTGAAAAAGCAAGAAGTCGGAAGAGAGTTCCACAACAGAGAAGTGCGACAGAAGGAACTGTTAACATAGAACTTACAAAATCCAATCATTAATACTATCTGATGATGTTTTTCTAAGCGTAGATTAGATGCGGCACAAGGCCAAAAATATGGGATACCCAGTTAGGATCGAACTCATCCTTCAGTCGTAACTGATCTAGCGAGATAAGCTTATTAACCATTACATCACGTCGATGTTCCCTGTTTTATTATTTGATGATAGTACTTGTGTTACGGTATCTGTACATCGCGTATAGATAACCAAAACTCTTTTGGTTGGTATTCCAGTAACCCTGTGGACTTCCTTGAACTTTCCTCCAACTTCTCTTACCTACACTGATGTCATCGACAAAAGACTACATCTTGAAGACCTTTTGCAGACAGTGAGTGTGGACCAAATCGAGAGCGGCAAAAACTATACCTGGAAAGAATAATAACAGCGACTAGACTTGAGAAACCTATTTTCCTGAAAAATTATTTTTAAAAGATTTTATAAATTTCAACTGAACACTGGTTGCTTAGTCAATAAATGTCAAATATTTTCTTATCAGGAAACGACTAATATTACCGCTGCCATTAACAGTTTGTCAGCCATTATTGTTCATTTTTGCTAATATTTAATCTTAATGTTTAGTTGGTATTTATCGTAAAATTGTTTTTTTTTATTATTATTATAAATTGTCTGCCTGATTAATGAATATAGAATGTTTCCTTATAACCACAGTAATTACCAGTAATCTTGAAAATGTTCCTGCTATTAAAATTCCTGACTTTCATCTGTTCACCTGAGCGAAATAAACCATCTGAGACACAAGACAAATCCATTTCTTCATTTAATATATGTAAATCTTAGCTCTGTGGGTGACAACGGTTTTTAATTATGAAAACAAGAGAGTGAATTAAATTTTTTTTTTTTTCAAAACAACAGAAACATTTACACACATCTTACATCAGGGGTCGGTAACCTTTTGGGGAGAGCGGTCCAGAAAGCTATGCATTGTCTTGGAGGAGGGCCATGATACTAATAAAAATATTCCTAAAAAAATTGGTTTAAGAATTTATAAATTTCAATCAACAGAGGCACTGGCTACTCAGTCAATGAATGCTGAATGTTTCCTTATAGGAAAAAAGTCTAATATTACCATTACCATTCTCACCTATTTGAGATGACTCTCAGATGACCTCAGTTTTCAGACATTCTTCTGTGATCCTTGATAACCAGAATTTTTTTTAATCTCTTTGTTATCCCCCATTCCTTCCCTCAGCACTCAACAAGGCCTCACTCTGATCTAGCATTAAAATTGGGATTTAACTTCTTAAATATTTTTACTAACCATGAGCACTAAACTTACGTTTTAATCTAATGGGGTCTCAATTCATACCCAGAAATCATTATAAAACTTGAAATTTTTCTTATTTGCCTTCTATATTAGCTGTGAGGAAAACAGGATCCCAGCCTACATATTTCCATGATATTAACTGTACTATAATAAACAGTTTCGGCCACAGACCGCTCCATCCAGAAGGCTGCCTTGGTCTGGATGTTTAAAGAAAAACAGCGAAGTTATTTAAATAAGGTTCCTTATTTTACCGCAGGTATAACAGGATAACAACTAACACAGTCAACAAAAAATGCAAATTCCTTTACTACAAACGAAATTATTAATGAGGCATTTGTTGTTCCCATGCAGATGTAGTTCCAAATAATGATACCATCATTTTCACGTTATATTATATTATATATTTCCGCTTGGGAAAACATATTTCTTGTAGAAGTCAGCAGATGATTCGGAATTAAACTTTGATTTAAAAATTGGTCGCATTGTAAGACGATTAGCTCCAACTAATATTTTTCTGCCACTTGCTTCACAGATTAATTAAATAATTAGTGTCCAGTATCCTTCGGACAAAAATCCTTCTCGGGCCGGATGTGGCCCGGGGGCCGGGTGTTGCCGACCCCTGGGTTAGATGACGGTCTGGAAATACTTGATGTTACTTTATGAATGGTTTTATGTCTGAAAAATGTGTTGCTAATCCAGAGGTCATTCTTATCACATAATATCAATCTCTCACCATTGTCATTTATTGTGTTTGCATAACCTTGAGACAAATTTCTTTCCATCAAAACAACGGAAATATTTACACATATCTTACATCAGGGGTCGGCAACATTTTGGAGATAGCCGGCCAGAAATTTATTTAAAAATTTGTCGCATTGTAAGTCGATTAACTCCAACTAATATTTTTCTGTCACTGTCAAATTAATTAGAGTGTCGAGATGATAAGTTGGCGAGCCAGACAAAAATCCTTCGCGGGCCGGATGTCGCTCGGGTACCCCCGAGGTTTGCCGATCTCTACCTTACATCAATGATTAAAAAGGGCTTCCAGGGAATGAAGCATGTAGGTTTTACCCAGGGCCATCTTCGAACCTTGTGGACTGGCGCTACACAATCACAAACAAAGAAACTGTACCAGATAACAGAAACCGCAACACTTTCAATTGTACTCTGTCTTAAGCCATCTGCATTTTAACTTTCTTAATTGTTTTCAAATTCAATTTTAGTTTAGCTGTGATCAGAACCGCAATCAGCACTTTATATACTCTCCTGGAGAAATGGCTTTTTTATCTAGTGCTTATGCAACTGAAATCAGGACTACCAACAGCAGCAACAACTAAAATGGATAGCACATAGTAACTCGAAGAGAAAATAAAGACATAATAAAGATGTTGACATTCAACATTACTTCGAACAAAAGATGAGGAAATAATCCCCATATATACTAGAAAGAGTGGATGGACCTCGGGGCGGTGTAATGGTTAGCAAACTTGTCTCACTAGAACAATTACGACTGAGTAGTGAGTTCGATCCTCACTGGGTGCCCCATACTTTCGGCCTTGTGCGACATCTGAGCTATGCTTGGAAAATCTCTATACTGGAAAGAGCGGGGGCACCTCGAGGCGGTGTAATGGTTAGCAAGCTTGTCTCGCTAGAACACTTACAACTGAGTAGTGAGTTCGATCCTCATTGGGTGCTCCATACTTTCGGCCTTGTGCCACATCTAAGCTACGCTTGGAAAATCACGAAACTGGAAAGAATGATAACGGCTAATGGATCTGAGAAACCTATTTTCCTGCTCAGTCAATGAAGGCCGAATGTTTCCTTATAGGGAGACGGCTAATATCATAGGTGATTTTCCAGGTTGGTTATTCAAGATAACGAGTCTTATTAAAGTAAAAGATGTGTTGTAATATAATATCTGATTGCAGACATAAAGGTTTCTTGGCTTTCTACAATGCAATATACGCGCTCAATGTGAAAAATGTCACAGGTGTGCTGTTTTGTGTTTAATGTACAGCTCGTAAGCCATTGCATATATGTTCAAGCCAATTTAAAAATAATAGCTTAACACGGGATTAACATCGGTAAGATATTCACTAGAACATCTAAGGAATTACAAATGGAACATATATATTCCACAAAATAATTCGAAGATTAATTAATCTTCTTATAGTAAACAATATTTTCTTCTATTGTTTTCTCTTGAATGAATACAGTTACCGAACTGCAACTAAATTTGAACGCTAAACCTTCTCCTTCAGGACATTGGTGATCATTGCTTTCCATAATGTCCTGTCCTTTTGTAGTTCTTATGTTCTCTTTGATATCTCTACCAAAACCTGCTCCTCCATCCATTCACTTAAACTTGTCAGGTAGGTCATGCGTTGCTTCCCTCTGTCTCTCTTACTCCCAATCTGTCCTGTGAGTATCAAATTTTCCAAACCCTCTTTCCTCATTGTGCCCCCAGAAATTTTAACTATCTCTTCCTGGTATTAAGTATAAATGACCTTTTTTTACTGCCATTGTCTATAGAACTTCTTTGCTTACATGTTCGGTTCATGGTATTCTCAGCATCCTTCTGTAGAACCAAATTTCTTTTTCTTTATTTGTGAGGGGATTGTCTAGTATTTACTATATAAGAGGACTGATACCACAAACATGACAGCTCCGAAATTACATCTTCAACACATTGCTATATTGAAGATATTTATTTTACCCAAGTGTAAAATTTTGCTACGCCAATTTTCAAGCGGATGTGTCGGTGTCTCGCAAAAAATTCAGAACTTAATTTAACTAATATTCAGAGACCCATGTGTAAACATTGCAGACGATTTTCCTTAATGGCCAGTCAACTGAAAACAATGAGTTCAATGCGGGATGAAAACTCGTTTGTAACATTCAATGCTTCCAAAACCAAGCAATGATGTGTGTGTGTGTGTGTGTGTGTGTGTGTTTTTTTCTGTCTTTCCTTCTATCTCTTTTCAAAATGGCATCTCTCTTACTCTCCTTTATTGACCTCCTCTCTTTTTATTCTCTTCCTTTCTCTTCTTCTTCATTATTTCTTCTCCTTTCTCGGCCTTTCCTTTTTCTTTTTCGATTCTATGTGTTTTCTTTTTATCCTTTCCTTCTTTCTTTTTTTACTCTGGCGTCTCTGTCCATTATTTCTTTCATTCCCCCCCCCAACTATTTTTATTTTTTATTCTCTCTTTTTTTTTATATTTTTGGGGGTATGTTTACGGCCATATCACTTTAAAACACCAGTTCCCGTACGATCACCGAAGTTAAGCAACGTCGATTCCGATCCGTACCTTGATGAGTGACCACTTAGAAATACCAGGTGCTATAAGCTTGGATGTGCAGGTGGTGCAATGGCTCGGAACTGAAAATCGGAGAGCCGAGTTCCAGTTGAGTTCGTTATATTCATTTATACGCAAATACGCCTGCGAAAGGCATGAATCCATCTTTTCTCCCTCCCCCAACTTTGGTTTAATTAGTAAGACACTCATCACTAAATCATTATTATCTAAAAATAATTCTTACAATCTAAAGATATTTTCTGTCTTTAAATAACCTGCAACGGGTTGATAAACCGTAAAAACGTATCAGTCGATAGAATCTTCTTTTGTCGATCGTTACTTTCGATTTTTTTCTTTTCTTTTTCTTTGCTTCTTTTTTTATTACTCTTCAGTCTCTCTTTTTTTTTCATTGCCCTTTTCATTTTCTTTTTCTATCTTTCTTTTTTATTTTGTTTTTCTTTCTTCTTTTCCTCTTAATTGTTTCTCTCTTTCTCTTCTTCGTTTTTTTTTCTCTTGCTGTCCCTCTTTTTCTCTTCAGTCACTCGACTGCTTCCTCTATTTTACCTTGCGATGCCGACACTATTTTTGTAGATCTCAATCTGTAACTAAATATACGTTTGGACATTTTGTGCCCTCCAAAAGCATCTAGTAACGCAGACTGAGTTAATGCCCTGTACTCACGTATCCATTGCAAAACGTAATTTGGAAGACTTTCTTTTGTTGAATTAGATTGTGTGCATTGAAGACAATTGACATAATCTCATGTGGAAAGGTTTCGTTGTAGACGTACGTAATTAAAAAGACGATTACAGAATCTTTAAACTGCATTTTGACGTGTAAAATCAAATAACCGAATGCCCATCGTATAAACACGTGAATGATTAAAAGATTTCGGACATTTTTCCGGCAAGGACGCTGTTGTTAAATGAGACGAAATGGACAAGAAAAAAAAAAGCCTGACATTAAAAAGTCAAAATTTTTTTTGGCAGATGAGGGGAGAAAAGCAGGCAAGAGATAGTTGTAAATTTTAACTTGTTGATCAAAATGTGAAAATACTCGCTGAAGATTAAACTCACGACACCAGCAGCATTCTGTAAGAGTAGATTGCTTCTTTTTATGTACCAAGTCCTTTCAGATCTGTGACGCTCTCTATAGGCGAGCAGTAAAGCATGCCGAGTCAAATGGCGGTTTCCCTACAAAGGGGGATGCACCGTCGAACATTGCCGGTGAACACATTCTCCTTCTTAAGATTTTTCGAATGCGCAGGCCGATAGATGTAATATACATGGTTTAAAATAAGAAGATAAAAACTGAGCACATTATATAATAATTGCAAATTGTATCAAATTATTATGTAACTTTTAGCAATATTTACATTAAACATAAATCCGTTAATTTTGGGGGGACTTCGTCAAAACGCGTCATCTTTCTGAACTCAAGTTCAGAATAGCATCTTCTTCTTGCATCTAAAGAAGCAATTAGAGACGTGCAATCCACGGAAAAACAACATCCTTCGAGAACACCAAATAGACAAATAGAAGAGACGAAAAGAGCCCAAAGAAAAGCCAGAGCTCTTCATCCTCTGAAACGTTCTATCATACGATGAGGTGGCTGCGGATGTCTCTTCAAATCCAATTGCAGAAAGAAATGTCGATGAGTATCCCAATACTCGACAACGAGTACCACTACAATAATGCTTGAAATAATATATATATATATATATATATATATATATATATATATATATATATATATATATACGAAAAATATAGTCTTAAGATGTGCTATATTTATGGGATATGGCGTGTGTAAATATAAAAGTGAACATAGAAGTCAACACTTAGAGGCGACAGTCTGTTTCATGCTAGACGCAATCGTCAGGCCACGAGTGCTGTTATTTTTCTCGGCTATTTATATATACGGGTCAGTGGTGCATTGTGGGTAGTCTATTTTGGCGGTTATTTTACCGGAAGCCGTTTATTGTTCCCGCCAAAATAATAGCTAGAATAAACTACAACACTCAACCCCAAAATTGAATGAATAGCTTATTATTATCTTCCCAAACCTAAACAAAACTATTAAATATGCGATATAAACAAATTTTTACTACGTTAAAAAAAAAACGATTAAAAAAATAAATAAATAAAAATAAATAAAAACAAGCAAAATAATTTAACCCAAATAAATAAATAAACAAATAAACGACTTTCGGTAAAATAACCGCCAAAATAGACTACCACGATGTACCACTGACCCGTATAGATAAAAAGCCGAGAAAAATAACAGCACTCGTGGCCTGACGATTACGTCTAGCATGAAACAGACTGTCGCCTCTAAGTGTTGACTTCTATTTTCACTTTATATATATATATCGTGGTCTCTCCTGTCGTTGATCGACGCGGGCTGATGATCCGCGCCTATCAGGACCCTTTTACGACGTATGAGCGTCAGGCAACTCAGTTCCTAGGAACCGACAGCCTGACCCCAGCACATGAGATTTGATTATAGTGGTGAAGGTTTTGTGCAGAACCAACCACACTTTTTGAAGTGCCGAATACAGAGACCTGGTGCTCAGTGTGCCACAAGGTCCCCAAACGAACCTCCGCAGGTTTTGAACTCAGAGTTGGCCTTCATGACCAATTGCCATCTAAGGCTATAGAACCCAGTCTGTCCTGCTAGTTACCCATAGCTGGGGGAAGAAGAGGAGGATTCATACTTTTCCCAAGTGCATTAGCACGTAAGTGAATGTTAGGGATTCGACTGGAATATATATATAATATATATATATATATATATATGTTTCATTAAAGGCAACAGACACGGTACTGCGATTAAACTTTTTATTTAATTTTTTTGTGTTCTAACAAGTGTTGTTTTCTTTTCTGGACTCAGAGTGTGTAGAAACTGTCCAAATGTTCTGAAATCCGAGCGCTTTTAGCCATTATCAGGGATGAGTTTATTTTTACTTTTTAAGTGGGTGTATAGGTTGTGTGTGTATGTATCTAGAGTTAAAGGGATATTTCAACTCAACAATGCAAAACAGACACTAGTTAACAACGGTTTTACTAAACACCTCATCGACCTCCAGATTAGACTATTTCTTTCCAAAATAAATAATAACGATAGTGAACTCACAAACAAAAATAACATTAATATTTTCTACAAAAGCCAAATTCACCTCAACTATAAACAAGATGAATCTTCATTTAGAAATGTCATAAAAAAATGTACTACCCCAGTTGATATGAACAAAAAATTATCTAGTACAAAAAAATATAAAACAGGTAACCTTATCCTCAAAAATGACAACACACCTGCAAAATCAAAACTACATAGAAACAACATTATTTATGAGTTCAAACGCCGCTTGAGGAACTCATAAATAATTAAAATCCAGAGACGGATATGCAATGTAATTGGCCCTGATCTGGCATCTCGTCTGCAGTCGCTCTTTCACGGACGTGCCGTCGCCTCCCTCTGTCTTTTTTACAGATACTTTCATGGTAACTGCTCCGATGAACTGCTTTCGCTGGTTCCCAGACTTCATGAATTTAAGCGTTCAACTAGGCTGGCGTATCGCTCTCACCCTTTCACTGTCGAAACTGTTAAATGTAGCCATCTCTTCTACTCCAATAGCTTCATATCTCGCACTTCTCGCCTGTGGAATTCCCTCCCCTTTTCCTGTTTCCCTAATAGCTATAATCTCCAACTATTCAAATGTAATGTCAATCGATGTCTCCAGATGTCTTGATCTATCCCCTATCCTTCTTTTCATCCTTTCCTCTATCACTCCTATTTGCTCTCGCTCCAACTCTCTGTAACCCCTTGCGTGCTAGTGGCTTCTCGCCTTGCTTGGAGTGAAATGCTTAAAAAAAATTGGCATCGGTCACACTATTACATGCCTATCCAAACGCCTTACGTCACACCTATCCGACCACAGCTCCGTTAGAACCCATTTAAACACACACGCAACCCTACCAGACTCCATTCGAAACATACTAGTAGAAAATACAAACATAATAACCTCATCCACATGTAAAAAAAAAGGTTAAAATAATGGAATATGAATAATAAAAAAGAAAACGCCGACACTCAATAATATTAACTACGAACACGGTCACAATGTGCTGATTGTGCTCGGAAAATAAAACATCCCTATGATTCATGCGTCATCTTCACATGTGACCCAAGGCGTATTCAATGCAAGAGAGAAACCGCGAATAACTTATCTACCGAGCTTATGCAAATGGATGGCAGGACAGCGCCTGGATATACAATTTGCTTTTCATTTATCTCACTTCTTTATTTATTTTTAAGAGTAAGTTAATTAAACCCTTCCTTAAATATCTGTAACCGAGAAATACATAAACGGATGGAGAAGGTAATTGAATTGTTCATGAATTTACGAAAGAAATTTACAATAAAAATGCATTTTCAATCTCGACTCTAGAAACTCGTTACAAATCAAGAATGGATCACTGGAAAACAGGTATTTTATTGAATGATATCTGACGCTTGATTACAGGTAATTTGGATGTGTTGAATACGAATTTCAATTTGGTTTAGTTCTATCAGGTCCTGATTCTTGGCAAAAGCCTATGTAATATTTTCCAGATTTTTCCAATAAAAACTAAAAAATTAAGTCACGTGTTAAAATTATGAATAAAATCATGAATACAAGCAGTTCACTCTACAGTAAAATTACATTATAATAATAGAAATAACTTAAAATAAACAAATGTGAAGCTTTCATTGAGACAAGAATCTTTTTTACGAAGTCAGTTATTTTGCTCGTTGATGTGAATGTGGAAAATTTCCACATATAAAACGAAAGGAATCGGGGTTGTTTTTGTATTTGAACTTTCTAGTGTTTGATGACATAATGCTTGATTGTTCTGCCAAGTTGTAAAGGTATTTAAAGCCCTTAAGTCATATAAATTTATGAAAATCTGAAATATAAATAAAAATTGGTTTAAATAGTAACTTATTATGGAATAGGTACTTACAATCTATGAAATTAAACTAGAAACACGGATGAGTAATTACACT